AGATACGTCCGCAGTCTTTGCGTGCAACGAATCGCCTATATATTTAGGACTATAAGACTTTGAATACCACTGATTACAACCAGTGCCACGCGGGTCTTGAGCGAACGAATCCGAGCACACCAACAACACCTCAAACTTGGGTATTTGAACTTTATCTAGGTAACGAAAAACAACAATAAACTTGATTAAACAAGTAACAAAATGATATCGTTAAATGAGATCTAAACTACGTATAATGAACTAAGAGAAGGCATAAATAACTGCCTCTGACTGCGCACTACCAGCTACTTATGCAGAAGACCAAGTCGTCTAACCACAGCTGTTCATTACACAGATACACCAAAGAAATGGTGGAAACCACATCTAATGTTAACATCTGCACATTCCTACAACAGCAAACACGCGAGCTACTAAAATCATTTTTGCTGTGCGACTGGTAAAGTATTAACCACAACAAATGCATATAATTTGCGCATTTTGGAGCGGAGAGGGATAATACGAACTGCGAAGTTCGTCTACATCGTACGCAGAAACTGAAAGCCATTGCGTCTGTAAGAGACACCGATAATGTCCGCAGTAACGCACTGTCTCTGCGTGCTATAACGCCTATACTTTTTTCTGTCTGAAAAAGTCGGCGTGTCTATGTTTTCCTTTTTTTAATACCAGCGGCATTTCTATGGTCTTTTCTTTGATAATCCCAGCATGATTTCTAGGTGAGAGTAGTGGTAAAATTTTGCAAAAATCCGCTTTGAACACCTGCATTCTTATGAGACTGACGTGCTCTATCATCGACAAAAATTGAATTTTCTGCATTTGCACGAATTTGCACAAACAAAACATATTTCAAAGCTTTCATAGTCAAGAAGCTAAGCATTCAAAAACATAACTGAATCTAAATTTCAAACAAACAGTTGTTGATCGAACGTTCTTTGATTCGATCTACCACCTCGTGAAAGACGCTCACTAACAGTTCTTATGACATAATCACTTGTCGGATCGATTGCTCTGGACTGGCCCATAGTTTGTTCACGTGTTTCTGATTTCACAGCTGAAACTTTCTCTAGTTTCATTTCGTTTCGATATCTTTTCTTCAGAACTGAATTCTAGGAAAGCTTTTGCAAATGGTTACAAATTTCTTCGAATGTTTTTTATGCGAACAGTCCATTGCTTTGTCATCGATGTTTAGTCATCTGCCGAGTGATGCCGATTATATTTTGTTGTTTCGCAATTATGAACTGTGATTCTTACACCGTTATCTGCATTCTTTTAGAGATTCTACATCACTTGTCCTTTTGTCAACTCTGAACCAACGATAATCGTCCTTTATCTCCGTAGAGACGTAACCTTAGAAGTCCTGCGCTCATCTTTCCAGCCGTTTTTCATTTTCTTCTCGATTATTCTAGATAGCAAAAAATTTATAGATGCATTTTTTAATTCGAAATCCTTCGTGCATGCCAGTGAGTTTACGTTACTT